ATTTAAAAAATCATATAAAAATGTCAAATTTTATTTTTTTTGGCTTTTGAAGTTTTGAGGAGGATAGGTGTCGCATGCCTAATCAGCATCGATCAGAACCAAGAACCGACCTCTCAGAGACAATAAAAAAATAGCACAGCGGAAGACCGAAATACGAAGGTCGGACTCATCATGGACAATGACAGAACCTGACAGCATACATCATCACTCAGAAAGAGGGGGAAGAGACTAAGGGGGAAAGAGGGAGATAGGGAGGATCAGCCACCATAGCCCGATGAACCCAGTCTCCAATGAACAGACGAAATCCGAACCAATTTTGATTTTGAACTTCTTAGTTAGTTGTATTGGCTTCACTAGCAAGGGTTGCCCCCATGAATTCTCTCAATCAGGTGAAGGAAGTCCAGGACCCTCGGGCATAGATATCGCATGTAAGAACTATATGGCCATCACGTGTATCCATGTGGACATCACATGGATTCCATGGCATGGCAGTGGACCAGCGACGTACATTCAGTCCATGAGGACATGTCCTCTACTTACTGGACGTCACATATATATATAATTATTATATAATTATTAATTATATAATATCATGAGTGACTGTGGATGCCCCATTGAATTCGTTCTGCTGCTGCTGCTGCTGCTGTTGCTTCATCCTCATCCTCTTCTTCTTCTTCTTCTTCTTCTTCTGCTGCTGCTGCTGCTGCTGCTGCTGCTGCTGCTGCTTCTGCTTCTGCTTCTGCTTCTATATTCGTGAGTTTTGTTCGTCTGACTCGTCTCCTTCGTCTTCGCCTTCTATATTTGTGACTTGAACACAGCTACGAAATCCATGTACTGAAAGAAAGCCATGAATTCGAAGGAAATCATATTATTCAATTTCATATTGAATTGCCAATGTTGCATGGAATTTGTGGCTTTGTTTCATTACACTGATTTCGTAGCTCTGTTCAACTCACAAATATAGGAGCCGAAGGCGAAGAAGAAGTCGAAGAAGAAGGCGAAGGCGAAGAAGAAGGCGAAGAAGAAGGCGAAGAAGAAGGCGAAGAAGAAGAAGAAGAAGAAGAAGAAGAAGAAGAAGAAGAAGGCGAAGAAGAAGGCGA